TCGTCTCGTTATATCAAAATAGTTGAACGTTATAAATTTCCGTATATCGTCAAAGATATTGATTGCCCTACGTAATATCTTAGGTAGTTAGTGGATTAGCCATCGCAAATTGATTGCGTAAATTCCACAAACCAGCTTACTAGGTACCTACTTTGCAAGGGCGAGAATTTGGGGAATCATGTCGATATTTCGATTGGAGTACAGCTAAATCTAAGTGTATGGGTGGGAACTTGAGTCAGCCAACGACTGCGTTAAGTACTAGTACTGTGTAAAGGACGATGATGCGAATATGGGCGGTTTTGGTGGGATCGGCGATCAGCGAGAAACCGGCTTGGAGCTTCACCACGCAACAACATAATTACCCCTCCATGCCCACACAACAACCTTCCCCGACTACGCTCTGTTTCTATTTCTCTTCGACGATCACAGAAAATCTAATGAGGATTGTATCACTTAATAATTATATGTTTGAATCGTATTTTCAACTATCTCCCCGTTTCCTTTAAGTCCTTCACATTACAAGGCTACCAAGCGCTACCACCCGCGTCAGATATTCTCATATAAATCTTATGCACCCTCGTCACTGCCCAAATTATGGCTATTGGCAGTGTTCTTGTTACTGGGTAACCTCCTTCGTTCCCATGAATCTTCCCTGGTTATTTGTTCCAATTGCTTACCCGGGTGTCGTGAAACCCAGCGGAACCGGTTACATAGGCTCCTTTACTGCCCTGGCCCTACTCGAAGCCGGATACAAAGTCGTCATCGCAGATAACTTGTACAATTCCTCCGACGAAGCCATCAATCGTATCGGGTTGATCTGCGGCAGACGCCCAGGCTTTGTCAAGATCGATATCACGAATGAGGCGGATCTAGACCGCGCCTTTGAGCAATACCCAGATATCGACAGCGTCATCCACTTTGCGGCACTTAAAGTATGTAAAAGAGAAAATGAAATATCTAGCTACCGATTGTACTTTGCGTTTTCTAACCCTTACAATTGGGTGTCTTGCTTACGTTCTGATTTCCGAAATAGGCTGTTGGCGAATCTGGCGAAAAGCCACTTGACTACTACTACGTCAACGTTTACGGATCGATATGCCTCCTGCGCGCTATGAAACGACACAATGTTACTAACATTGTCTTCTCTAGCTCCGCCACCGTATATGGTGACGCTACCCGATTTCCTAATATGATACCTATTCCTGAGGAGTGCCCCCTTGGCCCAACCAACCCATACGGGAAACACCAAATTCGTTGTTGAGACCGCGATTACGGGACTTCATCAACGCAGAGCGAAACAATGCAATCAAGGCAGGAAAGTTACAGGAAGCTGAGAAATGGAATGGCGCCCTGTTGAGATACTTCAACCCCGCAGGAGCTCTTTCCAAGCGGAATCATGGGAGAGGATCCCCAGGGAGTGCCCTATAACTTGCTACCACTCTTGGCACAGGTAGCCACAGGAAAGAGAGAGAAGCTCCTTGTATATGGGGATGGTTAGTACCCCCGATATCTGAATTTAACTTGCTCGCTCCCTTGGGCGGATATACAATTCCATTTCGTAACTGCCAGGTTGCCACTAACTGCAACAACTTACAGACTACGCCTCCCATGACGGCACAGCAATCCGCGATTACATCCACATCCTCGACTTGGCCGCTGGTCATCTCCAAGCCCTCAATTACCTGCGCGAAAACCATCCTGGTGTGCGCGCCTGGAACCTTGGCACTGGCAAGGGAAGTACCGTTTTCCACATGATCAAAGCTTTCAGTGCCGCGGTGGGCCGCGATCTCCCTTACGAAGTTGTTGGCCGTCGCGCTGGTGATGTGCTGGACCTCACCGGTAATCCAAGCCGCGCGAACCGCGAGCTTGGTTGGAAAGCGACTAGAACGCTAGAGGAGGCATGTGAAGATTTGTGGCGATGGACGAAGAATAATCCGGCAGGTTATAGGCAGCAGCCGCCGCAGGATTTGCTGGATAAGTTGAAGGAGGGAAAATAAATTGAATTTTTTTTTTTTTTTTTTTTTTTTTTTTTTTGCTTAACTAGGAAGTTTTAAATGATAAAAATTTTCCATTTTTTCTTTTGCTCTCTCCTGGCCCCTTGCCCCTTTTCTATTGCTCGTCTCATCACTGTGGAGAGAGCTATGTGTGGAAAATAGCATGACTATATTTTCTTTCTTTTCGTTAGGATAGACGTGGCGATTTCCTTTGATATTCAGTCCAGGGACTTGCTCTGCATGTGAAGTTAAGATAGCAATTATTTTGTTAAGAGGTAAAAACCGGGGTGAATAAAAAGGCAATCAAGTTTTTTCCTTAAGCACTTTGGTGAAAAAATCCGATGTACCCCCTTCTCTTGCTATTACCGGTCCTAGTTACACAGGAGAATGGCGAAGCATTGCAAACCTCCAGTAAACTCCGAAATCGTTTTTTTGATGAAGCGTTTAGAGTTCTCCGTGTTGCAGTTGTGTACAACACAATAGACGCTGAGATAACAGAAAAGAAGAAAATCGCACCTCATTTATGATAAGTAGCAAATGATCTGGATTAAACTGGTCTCATTTTCATTTTTCAAAACCATCAGCAGCCAACTTGAATAAAAAAAATTACCAGCCATAACGGTAACCTTTGTATGAAAATGTGTGGATGTTAACAAGGTATATTTCAATGCATTTTCATTGCGACAACGGTTTAATCCTTAGAACAAGAAGCTAGTTATGTATAACTAGCAGAGAATCATCTGATATAAGAAAAACTCCATAAGAATCATATACGCTTATTCCCGTCTTTTTTATTTTATTTTATTTCCCTTTTCAGTTTCTTTCTTGCTTGCTTCTCTCCATTTGTAGCACTCTCTAGTTTGAATCTTGAAATCTTCAATATTTATATGTATTTACAAATATATTTTGCTGTAACAAATCCCCAACTAATTTTAATCTTTGGTCCTCTTTCACACATTATGCTGCCATATTTATACTGCTTTTCTATCTCTCTGCAGCGATCGGACTGCTCCTTGCTTTCTCATCCATCTTGATATAGTTCCCAAGTGGATCAAACTCGTGAGAGGGAGATTTAAGCGACTGAGGGAGATTAGCATTGCACAACTGAATGAACAAGCGTGTTGAAACTCATATCTCTATAAATGGCTTCATATTGGCTAGCTTTTTAATCGGGCAACAAACCACTTATTATTATATTAATCTGGCCTCCAATTATATATTTATATATTTAAAAAAGGTGATTTTATGGCATTGGAACACATCCAGCCCCCCTTAACAATAAACCGCTATTATATGCTTACATATCGAATCTTCCCAAAATGAGGTTGCTCAAAGCCAGCCCTCTGAGTTTCCTATTTTGCTTTCCTACTCCTTCTTGACCCAGGGGTCTGCTGTTTGTTTCTGTTTCCCGGATCCGAGCCTGCTCCACCTCCAGCATCCACTCCAAAAGTGGAATTCGCTCTCTTTCGTTCAGTATCCAAAGCCTCCCGTTCCTTCTTCTCAAGTGCACGGAGAATAGCACCCTCTTTCTCCCTCTGCTCAATCTGGCGAGAACTCAGTTCCCACAATTCCTTCGCTATCTTCTCATCCGTAACTTCTTTGCGCACGATATTCCGTTCCTTGCATTCCTTGATTAGTTTCCCTCCAGCGAGGCCAGCACTAATCCCGACTCCACCAATATTCGCTGCGGGAGCTCCAAGAACAATGTCCATTGCAGCCATCAAAAAGCTTTGTGACCCTTGCTGTGGAGATTTTAAAACAAGCCACCAAATGGGCCATGTTATTAGGTAGATGAGAAGACCTAATAATGAACCACCTGTTATCCAGCGTCGTGTGCCGGGGGTACGCGAAAAGCCCGGATCCACAACGAGAACGCGAGCATTGCAGGGCTGTTTATCTGGTCTATCAAATGCGGAAAGATGGGATTGGAAGGACTTAGCGAAGATCATTAGAGCGAGTTTCGACGTTGCATATAGGCCATTTTGATCTGCTTTAGTATTGCTACCGGTTTTATTATTTATTATCTCATTGACAGGTTTAGAATTGCGCGCTGACGCTTTAGAAGACGTATGATTGGAAGAAGCCGTACGCATGGTCCTATATTCGAGGGTTTTCAAGTCCAATTTTGCGCCAATGTAGCTTGAGCAAGTTCCGATTATCACTCTGACATCTCGATCTGCGGGTTGGGCGCGCAGTGCAGGGCTTAAAATACTGAGAAGGTGGTAATTGGCAAGGTAATTGATTTGCCACTCCTCATCTAAGCAATCTATAGTCGTTCGAGGGTTCGCGTGGGAGGGTTTTATAGTATTGGCACAGAGGATAACCATATCCAGTCGCCGAGGTGGCGCATTATCAATCCACTTTGTAGCAAAGGTTCGTATGGAGTATAAAGACGAAAGATCAACTTGCTCGGCATAGATGAGCTGGTTACCAGTAGCGTTCCGGAGGTCGTCGATGTAGTCAACAAGGAAAGGATCAGAGGGCGCATGTTGTGTGAGAAGAATGAGTTGCGCGCCTTGGGAAGCTAGGCTTTGTGCAATTGAAGCTCCAATTCCTGATGTACCGCCCTAGAAGCAAAAATATAAGATGGGTGTAAAAATTGGCTTTGAGGATAAAATGCATTGGCATACTGTTATCATGACTACTTTAGAGTGCATCAGACGCTCCGAAGTATTCCTTGCGCCTCCAAAGTAGCGTTTCAACAGGACGATGAAGGCGACCGCCGGGGCCGTCTTCAATGTTGGGATTGCATATGGGATGCTCGAGATACCATCGACCACCCAGTGTGCCAGGAGAGGGACCGGCATTATGGAATATGTCTCCAGCTATGGTAACGGCCCCGGGAGGGGAGAAGCTCATGCCTGCCTACAGTGGTTGAATTTAACTCCACGTCATCTGTTGGTTAGAATATTACGTCAGCAGTCCATTCGCGCGCTATTTAGTTAGCGCGCATCCATCGTCGATCTGCCAACGCCACCGAAGCTCAACTCTCCACTGTGACTAACGACTTTGTGGTCCAGGAATTGGGGGGGATGGGAGAATATAAACAATAAATGGCTGAAAATGGCATACGACGATGATGAATACTTCGTCTCTCTCGAAGGCCAGCGAGTCTTTGGAGCCGGTATCAAGAGGAAACGAGTCCATTTCATCCCCTCTAGCGAAACATCTGCCAGTGCTATATCCTCCTCACCACAAGAGACATCCAGTTTCAGCACACCAAATACTTTTTCGATCGGCGACAGGTACCTATCAATCGTCCTTCCTTCCTCATCGGACGCTGGGAAGTCGAAACTTCACCAAACAACCTCAACCACCACATCCATATCCACCACACCAACCTGCGAAATTTGTGACCTACCACTTCCACCGTTCCCTTCTCCGTTTCTAGATTCCTCTTCCTCCTCTAGCCAGATGGCAAAATATACCTCGAATCCCCATGAGGCCACGCTTGCGCACCAAGTTTGCCTCCCACACTCTCACCCGCCTTCCGCCATCGACCGCACACGAACCGGCTTCAAGTATCTTTCAGCACAAGGCTGGGATCCAGATTCGCGTCTGGGCCTAGGCCCTCAGGGCCACGGTATCGCGGTGCCACTGAAACCTAGGGTAAAGCACGATACACTTGGCCTAGGCGTTAAGCAACCAGAGAAGGCGAAGCAGGCGAAGACAAGGGTGGAGAAGCTGAATGCAAAGCAGGTGAGGAAGATGGAGGTGGAGGGGAAAAAGAAGGGAGAAAAATTGAGGGAGGTGTTTTATGCGAGCTACGATATTGAGAAGTATTTAGGGAGTTAATTGCATTTATGTGTATGAGAACACTATCATATGATGGGATGTGAGGGTTGTGTGTCTGACAGAAGAGGGTTGTATGATGTTCTCATGTGTATTATATTGATAACACTGTTTTTTTCCTAGCTTGCTTTGGTTTGGCTAGGGTCTCAGCTGTATGATTAAAAGGCACATTGTGAGATAAAGGGTCGAGAATATACTATAAAACTGCTCCCTTCGAAGGAACATCGTTATCAACTTTGTAGCGAGCTCCTGTTCAACATCACAGTACTATTGATTTAACTAAGGATTTTACATTGGAAAAATCGGGGATGAAATACACATTAACTCCCACCTGATGGACCCGCGCCAGTTCTATGCTGAATGGATTTAGAAAGGAGATAAAAATTAAAGAAGAAAACACTTAGAAGTCGTCCGGCGAGCAGGCATTCGGAGTATCACAGAGAAGGCGACGAAAAGTAGCTCCAGTAAATGGGATTTTGTTTTTCCTCTAATTACTTAAAGAAATTTCGCTTCTTCTTCTCCTTTTCCTTCTCCTTGTCTTTCTCCTTCTCTTTTTTCCCTAACTTGTGACTGGATGCAACCGGTAGTACGGCAGGTTTCAACGGTTGGCCTGCAGCACCGTTCGGTGATCTGTGCGGAGCATCTCTGGAGCTAATAGTCATAGAAGCTAGCCCACCAGTCGGAGGAACTGGAGGCTGCTGCGGTGCGGGTTTCTCAAAGAGATGTGCAGGGGCCTTTGGTGCAGGACGATCCGCGGGGAGATCCAATCGGCGTTTGTCGACGCTGAGATCTCCAAGTTGACGTAAAAAGAGTTTCGGTGTGAGCATATGAGATGTAGCTAGGTATATGTCTTTAGAAGAGATTCTGGCGAATTCATAGCAAGCACGAGCCTCAGAAAACGTCGCACCGCCAGCCATGAAGAGAATGATTCTTTGGCGGGGCTCCGCTGCCGATGGCCGGGTTCGGGCCCAGGTTGGTTTTGCACTTCGAAGAGATGCCTGGGAAGCATTATCTGGACCTATTGTGCCGTCTGGGTCGAGGTGGGGCCGAGTATATGGGAAAATTGTAGTGTCTAAAGTTCCCTTGTTCTGTTCTTCCAGTAAGAATTTCAGGTTAGGCTGAAATCGAGAAAGGCTCGTGTCATCTTCTGTCGTTTGAGTGGGAACTTTTCGGGGAAATAAAGGCTCAGGTTTTGGTTTTGAGTCCTTAAGCGGCTTTTCTACTCTTGCGCCCAATAGGTCGAGGTTATATATGACCTCACAATCCTGTGGTGGAAGCTGGGAGTGAGCAAGGAGCTTTTTTATATCGCCTGGCAGAAGTCCATTCCTGTAGAGCAAATAAAGAAGAATCAACCTCAGGCGTTCTGACGGTCCAACGCAATCTTCGTCTAATAGGCGAACTAGCTGATCGGCAAGATGTTTAGGTTTCCGGTAATCTTCGTCCAAACCTGTGGAAAGTGACTACTGCAAGTTAGTCGGCGAAGACAATTATTAAATGTTCAAACAAAAGGGGGGTGAACTTGTACCTGCTCAACAGAAGCAACTTCCACTAATTTCCGCTCCTGAAACAGCCTCATACACTCCTGTGCCATATTAAGATGTAGCGTATATGCGTTTTTTCCCTCTGTAAATTCCGATAACCCAGCAATCATGTCTTTAACAGTGTTGAGGTTTGCAGTAGCCCCACTTCGAATTTAAATCCACGTAAGTAAGAGCGACGCAGCGTATAGTAAGGAGCTAACTAAGGTTGCAACTCACCTCTCGTTGAACTGGGGGTTATCCGCTCGGAATTTATTGAAATCATCAACGAGTTTCCCCAGAAGATCCTTCATGTGCAAATGCCTGCTGTCAATCCAAATTCTATCATGTTCACTTATCTCCATTTCCTTAACTTCCTCATTTGGTTGTCCCTCGTTTAGTGTAGTTTTGTAGGTTACTTTATCTCCTTCCTTTATCGGCAGTAGATCATGGGCCATAGCTTGATATGTAAATTCATGAAGTAAAGGGGCGTAGATATCCATTGATCGATCTAAGATGTATAGTACTCCACGCGGTCGCGGCGAGGGCGGGGGGTAATCGTCATGATGTTTTGCGTATTCATCCAGCTGATCTTGCAACAGAACCGCGCTAGATGAGAGCAGAGGACACTTGCTTCGTGT